AAACTTTATAACAACATTATTCTAAAATTCAGGGTGTTTAATTAATATCATTATTTTATTTTTAACAAATAATTGAGGTTAGCTATGTGTTAATGTCAACAAGAGAAATTATAAATAGTAGATTGTTTTATAAGTGAAGAAAAGTGATAGTTTTTATTCAATGGAAATAACTTGATTTAAGATTGTAGAGTGAATAAAATTTCCTCGAGATGAAAAATTCACTTTTTTTACTCATTTTATTAATGGAAATGCATTAATTAATAAAATAAAAATCATCATAATATATTATATCCTTATAGTCGTCCCTTGTATACTACTGACATCTGTCAGAATCTGACAGTCAGATGGACAATCTGACATCCATCCATAGACCTTCTAACCTTAAAACTAGTACTTTTCTTTACGATTTTTAAGATTGGTGTGATAAAAGTGTGGCTAACCATAAATTTAGTGCTTTTTTACGATTTTCTCTTAATAAAGTATACTCTTTTCATTAAGAATAGGAAAAATATATTGTTATATTTACATTGAGGTTTACAAGTTGTTTTTGTGACAAAAATTAAGAGCCCTGTAGACTAAAAATATAACTGCAGTTTTAGTGATTTTTTACACTTTTCAAAGCTTTCAAACATACGAATTTTTGAATTAAAAAAAATAATCCTGGTATAGATTCTTTGGGAAATTTCATGCTCTACAAGAATCCGCGACGTAAAAAATTTTATATCAAACGGTTCAAAAGTTATAGTCTTTTTAATGAAAAAAGATTTTTTTACGTGTTATTTCAATGGAAAACTTAGAATGCTCACCGACACCTTTTAAAATTGAGCAAAAAATTTTGCCTTGCAGGAAAATTTTTTTCTCGGTACGTAGGTTCATTTTAACCCATAAATCCGATAGGTTAGTTTTTTTGGCTCACCCTAATATATATAAACGAAATTGGCGATAAACTCTAAAAGAACAAAAAAACATTTTATTTATAATTTCTTTTGTTGACTGCACATGATACCTAACCTTAATTCGTTGTTGTTATATGGCTGCATTCTTCATTAAAATTTCTAAGTACTACAAATTAAAGATTTTTTTTAATTAAAAAAAATACTTACAATATAGAAACATCAATAAAAACAATATTTTAAACTTGGGCAAGGGCAAGGAAATTTTTGCTTTCTGAGAGGATTTAAAAGTTTACTGCAGGAAGGGGCACATTTCGGAAATCAAACAAATTTTCTAAGGAAAAAAACACTAATCAAATAAATAATATAGAGGGTGGCCCATCAAAAACAGTCCAGCAAGGTTTACGGCTTTGTATAGTCGCGGCCAAATCTGTATGGGTGCACGTCATCAACGGCATATGACGTCAGCGTTAAGGTCTATTCATACGTGCCCAGACACAATCTAACGCTCGTGTATTGTTGACTGTTTATAGCGGTGGGGGCTGTTATTAAGATGGAATTATAACGTCCTTGTTATAATCTTCTGCACTAACTAATTAGGAGTTTGTTACAGGCAAATTTTTATTAAATGTGTTTAAAGAGAAAACAAACGGAGTTTATTACATTTTTATTACATATGCACATAACAAAAAAATACTAAATTATAAGAAACACAAAAATAATAAATTACCAGTCGTCCTTGTCATCAGAGCAAACCAGGTCAGAATTGAAGTCTGATTATTTCCCCAAATTTATTATTAAGGGCGCAATGTCTTCGAAATCTAATAACGGCTAGTTGCCAACAAGACTTATATCATTGTTTGCACAATCCAGGGATAGAATCTTATAAACATAATGTATAATATTAATTATAATAATTTGCAACAAACGATGCTTCCGGACGAAATGTCACAATTACAAAAATACTTCAAAATTTATATTTAATATAAAATGACAGCGACCCATCAATAATATTGAACGGTGCGCGCCAGCCTTAAGCTATTACCAACTGGCACACACAAACATTACTAAGTGAATCGTTTTATTTTGATAATTTCGTGAAAAAACGTTTTAAAACAAGGTAATTGTTACAGTTCTTGGTAAACAATACGCAAATGAATGATTTCTTTTTAATAACACATCAGAATTACGCCTTAAAAAAGCAAATTTAACGGCAGTAACTTTACTATTCAAAGTTGGTAATGCTGACGTCATTATATCTCATTGATGACGTGCACCCATATAGATTTGGCCGTGACTATATGTAAAAATAAAAATAATCTTTGGACCCATATACTTTTGTTTTCAGAGGGACATATCACTGTAACTTCAACACCCAAGTCAACACCCTTATTTTTTTAATTGGGAAGGGGTATGTTGCGGTACATCTTTTAAAAGGGCATACAATTTTCTTTAAAATAAGCTGCGTTTTTTAAATTTTAGCTACGCCTCGCCGAGCAATGGTATTCCGAACATTTTACTGGACCGCTTATTTACAAATTTCCTTAAGCAAAAAATTCGTTAAAAAATTGATTTTAAACCAACAAATTTCAGTCCACAAAATGACTTTATCTTTAGTAAAATATTTGATGTGGATAGTTTGTTATTTCTGTGGGTTTTATTTTCTTTTGATTCGATAAAAATGGTTTATTCTATAGCGGAGAGAGTGGGAATTACTGAATTGTATTTTATAAACAATCAATGTGCAAGAGTAATGGCAACTTTGTTTAATAAGAGGCATGCAAATAGACAGATACATCATGGTTACATCCTAGAATTAGTAGCATAACTCTGGCAAACTGGTTCAGTGGCAAATAAAGAACTATATATTAAAAATCTGAAAAAACATGAGGCAGAGAAGTAGCTGTTCTGGGTAAAATTACTTTTGACTATAGATGGCAGATGCTCGAGAGCTTTGCAAAGCGCTCATAAGTGCTTATAAGCGCTCATAAATGCTCGAGCATTTATAAACGATAAAAGATAGAGGTAAGTAAACCATTTTGGAATTGGATAAACCTGAACCACTTTTGTGACCTGCACATGTTTTGATGTAAACAGTAGTTATTTGTTGGTTAATTTATAACCCCGTTTTGGCGCCAAATTCAAATATCGAGCACTTTGGTAAATACTCGAGCATTTATTTATAAGCGCTCGAGCATTTATGAGCGCTTTTGAAAGTGCTCATCCTTCTATACTTTGGACCCTACATTAATTACCAGAAAAGTTTCTGATATAATAGGAGTTTCGCGGGACACGGTACAGATAATTCTGAAACATAATTAATGGCACCCATATAAAATTCAACTTTTTTAAGAATTGCATGATAATGCCGCCGTTTACAATTTTGTAAAATAATGTCCGAAATAATTATATCAGTCAGGTTCCAGCTCTTGACAAGGCATGACGCGTAGTGCAGCGAGAGCTCTTAAAACGTAAAAGTTTAAAACCTGCAAATAATTTTTTAAAAGTGCAACCCAATGAAATAGTGTAACGGTCAATAAAGAGTGAAGTGTTAACTGATATGAAAGAGTTAAAGGACAAGTTTCAGCTTCTGGTCCTATAGGTACCACCTGGCATTGGACGCTTTTCACTAGACAAACAAAAGATGTCAAACAAGAGGGAGCGTGGCCATCCGCAAAAAATTGATAAGTATCTTTAAGCATATGCATGACCTAACAAAATTTGCAAATTAAACATGACAGATATCTTTAAAACCCTAAGAAAGGCACACTGCTTAAACTCTAGGAAAAAAAACAATAAACATCAGTAAAAATAGAAACATTAGAAAGACAATACTAACCAAACACCATAAATAATAAAGAAAAAAGACAGAAAATAAAAAAACAAAACTTCCCAATCGCGGTGATACACCAAAGCTGTGTAGGACAATAAATCTGTCAACATCAAATGCGTAACGCATGAATCCCAAACGAGACCAATAATAAACATTTGACACACAGATAAACTAACAGTCAATAAATTATTACAACCCTAACATAGTAAAAACAGCATAATAATCAAACTCTATTGGATTTGTAAACACATTAGATTATAACAGAATAATTGCGCTTGACATGTTTAACGAATAAATAAATGCAATACTTAATTTTGGAATTAAACACCAAACTGTCTATCCCTCCCGTCCTACCTCCTTCATTACCCTACTGGACGTATAGCATCGGCTCGGCGAACCCGGGAATGGCTGGTAAAACTATTGGCATTTCGCTCTCGAGCCCTAATTAGGGGAGAGTACGGGACGCAATGGACATTCGCAACCAGCAAACACGGGTGAAGCCGCGCCGTTGCTAGTGGCGAAAGAAAATCGGCGCAAGGAAACAGAGGCCTATGCGAGGCCCGGGAGTGATGAGGCAATGGGGCCGGTTATACGTCTCTTATACTCATACTCATAATGTCCGAAATAATTATAATTACTCCCAACTACCTTTTTAATGTTTGCTTCTCAGATAAGGTGACCAACCGTCCTGGTTTTTGCTAATGTGTCCTGTTTGTGTACTGGTTTTGCAGATTTGGTTTTGGTTTATACTAATTTTTTAATATTGACGTTATTAGCACATCCTTTTTTTCAAATAATAAACATTAAATAAAATAATTTTTGGTTATTTTTTGGTTGTGTCCTGGTTTTTTATTTTAGAAAGTTGGCCATCTTATTCTCACACGAATGTTCATTTTTTCTCAATGGCATTGTCAATCGTCATCACACGTCCCACACGAATCCAAGGATTTTCTATAAGGTTTATATTCAACGTCCTCAGAAATTAAACGTTTGGTGATCACATAATTGGACCATTTTTCTTAATTAGACTTTGTTGGAGAATGCCATTAACACAGCGCTGATCGGAATTATGAAAAACGACCAACGTTACCATGAAGAAAATCCAATATTTAAGCAATTCGGGGCTCCTCCCCAAATACTTTTTTTATTTTCACATACAAGGCCGTAACCATTGCTGAACTGTTTTTGATAAGGGTGATTCTCACAAAAACCCGCAAAATTATTAATCCAAAGTAAATATTTTTAAGCAAAAAGTTATTTAAAAATTGACATACCTCTTACTTCTGTTGCCCCACGATCCCTCGGACTCCTCCGTAGTGTCCGATTCGTCCCATATGGATCGTTTCTTCTTTTTTTTGGGTGCATCATTTTCACTATCGTTAACTAAAACAAAGTCAGCTTTACCATTTGACAAGTCGAATACAAAACCAAAAACTTACTGAAATCCTCGTCGTCGTAGCGATTGTAGCGCGTCCTCGTCGACCTCCTGGTCGGTGCATTCTTTCTTTTTCCGCCGCGAATCAAATCGCTGTCGTCCGAGCCCAAATCGTCGTCTTCTTCTTCTTCCCAATCAGTGCCGCTAACAAAATAAAAACAATCTCAATATGATGATTTCCTCACCACGATATGGTTATATTTATAAACAAAGGTAGATTTTAAGGTAAAGTTCATTTTTTTTATCTGGACTGCGGCAACGTTGCAAATTTAGGGGTTTGGTTGGTAAATACGGAACCAAAATTGGTTGCATTGATTAAAACAAACTAAACTAGTTATAAATGTGATTATAATATAATTGTGGTTATGTTTAAATTATTATGGTTACATTGAACGGTTGTCAAGTTGATTCAAGTTGACTTGTCAAAATTCGTAGTTAAAAATGCAATTAATTTGGATTTGGTGGTGCGCAGATAAGTAAAATCATATCAAAAAGTAGTAAAATATAGGTGACTACTGCCCAGGAAAGACAAAGTATTCCTAGCGGATAATAATCTTCGCTTTGAAAAGAACTGATATAAAAGAACTTAAAATTGTATGTGAACACACGTGAATGTTGACCAATCATTGGACTCCAATGGTGATTGGGTATTTTGTTAAAGCCACTGGACCTTAATACTTGTAGTGGCTTAATAATAATTATAATGTATATATTGTCCAGGACTATTAATGACCAGTAACTTGCAAATTGAAAGAAGAAAAAGTTTCATGATTATTGATATTTTTCAAGCCAAATGGATGCTATTTTCAAAGATAGATAGAACCTAACAGCAAATAATTTTTATTTTTTGTTTTTTTATTTCCACCTTATTTTTTAAAATTTCAAAAATTTTTGATCTGCTTAGCTGAAAATAATGTGATTTAATATTTGTAAAATCATGTACTTTTTCTGCCAACTTCATCGAAATGAAGTTTTGCCCTTAAAAGTTTTTTTACTTTAGAATCTGATATTATTTTTGGCATAGTTATCTTTTTATATCAATACTATATAATAATTAACATGTTAACTTGCAAGTAAATTATCAATAATAAATATTACTGTCAATTTGACAGTGTCTATAGTGTTTATAAAAATAATTATAAGGTCTTCAGCAGAAGTACCATTTTTAAAATACTAAATCAAACTGGCATAAGCTACCAAGTATAAAAACCAAGCATAAAAAAAAACACGAGTCCAAATAAAAAAAAGGAACTGTATCTCCATTTGAAGAGTTTCCATAGAATTTCTTCAATATTTAATGATTTTGTGAGGCATCAGACACTCTTTGTGATTTCAGATTTTTTTAAAGCACAGATTCTAAGAAAATAAATTTTAAAGTTACATTTGTTGCCACATATCAGTGTATTTTGTATCTCACAAGCTCTTAAAAAAAGTCATGCATAGAAATTGATCATTATTTGACGAATGCGTATCATTTATTCTATATAGGGTGATTCATCAGCAGACCTAAATAGATTAAGGTTAGGTGTTTTTTTTTTAGGCGATTTAAATTCTTTTCTTAAAAACGACCTTTGTTTTAAAGTTACAGGGTGGTTCATGAATTTTGTTGAAATTTTTTGATGAGCCGTATCTTCTGGATTAATATAATCAAGTGAAATTTGGTAGGTATACTTTACTACTGACACTTGACTACAGAACCATACTTAATATTTCTGGCCCTCGCGGTTTTGTCAAAACGTTCACTCTGTATGCATTTTCGAAAACTACAAGAAATATGCTATAATTTTGGTAAAAAAAGTGGCTTGGCACCATTTAACTGCATCAAGAAAAAAATAAGGATTGATGTGTCAGGATTTCATTTTTTTTTTATTTACGTATTTGGTTGCTATTTTTTGATAAATGTATTTATTTCACAGATTTGACCAGGATTATGGGCCTTAGTAGATTTTGTTTACACTAAACATAAGTAATAACAACAAAGATGAAATGCCAGTAAAACAGGAGAAATATGGAAAAAAAATCCAAGGAGGTGATGTCGACACATTTCTATATCTTTTTATTAAATCCGCGGTTGCCTACGGATCATCTTCCTGTATACAAACATGACACTTACTCGATATTATTTTTTTTTTAGTTAGGCCGCTTTTGCAGTATACGCCTCAAATTGAAAATTATTGAAAATTATCATTATTGAAAATTTTGACTGAGACTAAAAAAATTGATTTATTATTTAGTAGTTTACACATAAGATACCAATAAAAATGTAAAAAAAACGTCTTAAAGTCTATTATAGGTAGAGAGCGGACCTTATCCCAGTTAACACGGTATATTCTAAGAATATTCTCTAAATCTACATAATAGTTTGAGAATATTCCTAATATTCTTGTAATATGCAGAGAATATTCGTGTCTATAAGTTATATTCATGGATGATTCATTTCAGTATATCCCAGGCATATGAATAATGTATCTGCTTATCTTATTCATTTTGGTATATGTTTTTTGGTATATTCCTACAATATTCTAGTAATATTCAATTGTTCCATTTTTTTTTAGTCTAATTTTTTTAAAAAAAATTGTTAATGATTTTTTTTAAATTTACAACGAAAAATTAAAAAAAAAAATGAACTTGTTCCGCGGTGTATACGCCCATGACTTGTTCTGTTAACAGTAATTTTATTTGAATCAGTGAAATTAGGAATTCCTAATTTCACCGATTCAATTAAAATTTAAAAAAAAATGGACCAATTTAATATTACCTACTGTTTGTCTACGATGAGTTGGCGGACCAAAGGAATTAAGTTATTTAATTATTAAACAATTGTCGTGGTGTGTGCTTTTAAAACGTATTTTTTATATTATAAATAATAATATTATATAATTTATATATATAAATAATAAGAAAAAACATTACTGAGTAGGTAGGTATGTTTATGTTAATATTATTTATTTAAACTGCATGAACATTTCTTTGCTCGGCCAACTTATAATGGACAGACTGTACTATCTACTACCAAAATGCGCAAGCGCCAACGGGCGGCTTTACACGAGATCGGCCGATTCGACTCCTTCATCTCTGCATCGGCCATTGTTTTTGCGTGTGTAATCCACAGATTATAAAGGTTAATCTAATCTAATAATGGTGTAATCTGTGTTGTTTCGCCAGTGAAAGTGTGTTGATAATTGCTTCCTGTCTGCTAAAAACTGTAAGTATTGTTGTTATTTGTAACTGTTTTTATTATTTGACATGCGGCTAGATTTTAAGGAATAATAACGTAGTTTATTCTAACACAGAACAGGTTCAATTAGGGTTGCCAACCGTCCTTTATTTCAAAGGACAGTCCTTTATTTCTAAATACTGTCCTTTGTCCTTTTAAAAGGTGTAAAAGGACGGCAAATGTCCTTTAAAATCCGGAAATACAGATAAATCCACAATTATTTCAAAAAAGGCCCATACAAATACCATAAAATGTAAAATTGGCAACATTTGAAATATTTTGGTAAATCCCCGCAGTGTTGCCAGATTGGGCGATTTATCACAAATTGGGCGATTTTTAACTCGCTCTGGCGACCATAAATTTACAAAAATCACAAGTCGCCATTTGGGCGATTTTCGGCGCTAGACCGGCGTCAGTAGGGTTACCAGATTCTGTCAAAAAAAATCGGGACATTTTGTATTAATTTAGCTTAATTACAAAAGTGACATAATAATACAATGCAAATTGTAAGTTTGACGTTACTTAATTATTGTTGATTGTGTCATTTTTGTAATTAAGGTTAATTCACACAAAATGTCCCGATTTTTTTTGACAGAATCTGGTAACCCTACCCAAGCAACAATTTTGGTCGAAATAACCTATTTTCGACCCCCTGTAAGGCAATCGACCATTTAATACCATCCCTTTTAAAGGCAAATTTACGTTACAGTTACGTAATATTTTCGTAAGTGGGGAATAAAAAGTTAGTAAATTTAAGGTATTTTGGAAGTAGAAGAAGGCATTGTGACCAAGACTGTTATTGCAAAGCTGCCCAATTTTAAGTTGCTGTGACGTAAAATAGTGGTAATCTATAACCAATTATCAACCTGTAAGTCCTTTTAGTTCGATCCCACTCTCCGCTATTTTATCTCTGTCAAAATAATGCTAAAAATATAGGTACAAGTTAACAAACACTATTAGGACCATAAATATATCTTTAAAGTCCATTTTTAAAATGGGTATTTTGAGTTACCTAAGGGCTAAATTACTGGGCGAGTTGAATTTTATTGTCAAATATCCTTACTGTAGCGCTAAATAACAGAAGCGCCCTTGAAAATACTTAAGAAAAACATTTTTTTTTAATTTTTGTCAATTTGGAATTTTCCTTATTTTATTTTATGAAGCGCTGAAAAGGTGGTTTTTCAGTTCGTTAGTTTTTTCAAGTTGTATAGAGCCCAATTTTAGAAAAAAAAATCTCAAACAGTGGTTAGATAAAATTATTTTTTCCTTTAATACTTTGGTGTAAACTGTTTTGGTTATCAGAAAAGATGGCGATTTCGACGTATTGAACTTAAAAACATAATTTCCCTATAATTTGGACCTGTAAAATAAATTTCCCTAATGTTCAGTTAAAATAACCTAAATTACTGCCTATGTAGTCGATATGTCTTAACAAGGGAATAAATATTGTGAGGTCTATTAGCAATTGCACAGTAATGCCCTATTTTTAACCATAAAGTAAATTAGTGCCCAGATTTCGACTTTGTAGGCCATTATCATAATTGCGCATGCGTATAATAAAACAGCTGTAGCACGCCTAGTTGCTCGTGTGTATAGTTATAACAATGGGAGACTATTTAAAAATAGTTGCTATAATAAATAAAAGAATGAACAAGTGTACTGTGGAATACAGTTTTATTCCACATAAGTGGGAAGAAGATGGTGTGTTAAAATTAGTTAATTCTTCTATTAGAGAAAGCTTTTTGCCTAATAGTTCTTCTTCCCTTTTGCTAAAATTATCTTCGCAAGGGATTAAATCAATTTGCCCTTCGTTAAAAGTGTTTTCCGATGTGTTTTCACAAAAAATATTTTCCGTATAAACTGATTTCTTGATAGTAAGTGGACCGGTTGAAACACTGGATAAGTTTACAGCATTATTAACATTTCCTTTTCGTAATATTAAACATTTTTTCAACTTGCGATAATAGCTAGTGGTCAGCCTGTACGGCTTAAAACACTTTTGCGACATCTTGCTAGTTCCAGCGCTCACAACAAAAACAGAACTAACTTTAAATTCTAAATAAGTCCAAAGGACCTGTTAGTCTAAATGAGGTGGTAAATTCGACCTCTATATAACCGCATCGACTTACAAGACCAATATTGTAGTAAGTTAGACCTTAAGGTACATCACTTAAATATAAATAGGTAAAACTTGGCCCGACTCCTGACCAAAACATGCCTTAACCAAAACTTCAGGCAATTAGGGTTAGAATTACTAAATTTGTCCTTACGAATTTTGTACGAATAGTTGGTTGAAAATTGGTAAATTAATAGAACAGTCTGACTAACGGTTATCCCCTGTGATTTACCATTAAGGATATAAATACATATAGGTAGATGAAGAGGGGTACATTAGGTAACTGGGACCAATTATTTTTACTATAAAGGCAGGGAAAATGTTAGTAACTAGTAGTGGGCAACGTATCCATAATTGGACCAGGAAACAAAAATTTGAAGTCCGAGGGCTTTGAGGGAATATGTGCAAGCCAAAAAGAACCAGTTCTTTACCTATTTTTCGCCCACAAATAAATGTCGACCTCAAACACAAAAGTTTGGTTAAATTTTTGTAAATTTCAACCCTTTTAGGGCAATTTGGTGCTAGTATAGACACTATTCGACTTATTTTGTTGCTTGGGCTAGGCGTCAGCCCCAAGGAGGGCAAAATATTTCTCCTTGGCTCATCAAAGCTATGATCGGAATAATAGGTATAAATAGGTTCATCGACATAAAACATATGTTTTATGTCGATGTCGATTATGTAAATATGTAATATGAAGCAGATTTTACGCTGATTGTAAATGTTAACTAAACGATGTTATTTAAATAAAAAATCATTCATGAACATGTTCAGTTATTTTTTTATTTTACAAGTAAAAATTCACAAAAAAATGTACTTAAAAAAAACTGGCGACTTTTACTTTATTTTGGCGACTTTCGCCGCCTCTGGTGGCGACATGAAATTTTTTTATCTTGCAACACTGAATCCCCGAGCTCCAATTTATCCAGCATACCTTGTATTTTTATTTTGTTCCTCGTGTTGAGCCCTTGTGTGTATTCGACTAGTCCCTGTGTGCAGTGTTGCCAGATAAAAAATTTCATGTCGCCACCAGAGGCGGCGAAAGTCGCCAAAATAAAGTAAAAGTCGCCAGTTTTTTTTAAGTACATTTTTTTGTGAATTTTTACTTGTAAAATAAAAAAATAACTGAACATGTTCATGCATGATTTTTTATTTAAATAACATCGTTTAGTTAACATTTACAATCAGCGTAAAATCTGCTTCATATTACATATTTACATAATCGACATCGACATAAAACATATGTTTTATGTCGATGAACCTATTTATACCTATTATTCCGATCATAGCTTTGATGAGCCAAGGAGAAATATTTTGCCCTCCTTGGGGCTGACGCCTAGGGTTACCAGATTCTGTCAAAAAAAATCGGGACATTTTGTGTGAATTAACCTTAATTACAAAAATGACACAATCAACAATAATTAAGTAACGTCAAACTTACAATTTGCATTGTATTATTATGTCACTTTTGTAATTAAGCTAAATTAATACAAAATGTCCCGATTTTTTTTGACAGAATCTGGTAACCCTACTGACGCCGGTCTAGCGCCGAAAATCGCCCAAATGGCGACTTGTGATTTTTGTAAATTTATGGTCGCCAGAGCGAGTTAAAAATCGCCCAATTTGTGATAAATCGCCCAATCTGGCAACACTGCCTGTGTGTAAGGTGTTTTTTTTAACCTTATAAGGTTAAAAAAAACTAAAATATATTTTACAACTTTTTAACAGGAAACGTTAAGTGGAAAATACAATATTAAAATTATATTATTAGATTTCAGTTTTTTGTCGCAATATATTTTTAAACTTTAATTGGAAAATTAAAAGTAGCATTTTCTATTTTAAACAATTATATTGTACTATAGTTGCCTAAATGCCAAATCATTATTTATTTGCAGGTTTTTGCTAAACATCATCAATCAATGCAAGTGATGATGTCCCAAAGTCACAGACATCTACGTCAAGCGGTGCCCCTTCTACACCACCTCGTCCGAAAAAAAAATCGGAAAAGCTGTAAAGTAGACGTGGCACCCAAAAAAAAATCCCAATTTGTCCTTTATTTCAATAACCGAAAGTTGGCAACCCTAGGTTCAATTAGACTTAAAAAGTGGAACAATTAAATATTAGTAGAATGCACATAGGCAGGGATGACAGATCCTGTCTTAGAATCGTGAGATTTATTTATATTTATTTATTATATTATAATTAATTGAGTCATTTTTTAATTAAGGAAAATTCAAACATAATCTAAGTTTAAAGTTTTGAAGAGCTTGAAGCAATTGAAAAAAAATTACAAAGAGATGATGTAGCTAATTATATTGTAAGGTTTATCCACTTTTGTCATGCCTCTATTAAATACCTATATTTTTAGACTGACAGCCTCTATAGAATCGGTGGGCGAGACTACAAAGACTGCATTCGACGGTTTCTTAAGAAAATGATGGCCGATAGCGTAGCCGCCCATTATAGTTTACAGGGTCACAAAAAAAAGAAAATCTTCTCCTCCACAAAAATGTTTGCAGTGATAACAGGTAAGTCTGTTCTGAAATTAGGCTTCTGTTTTAACTGCTTTTTTTAGGCGCAGTTCTAAAATGCGACAAAAACGTACAATTAAAAAACATTGAAATTATTGTGAGCCAATGGCTGGCCAAAGCGCCAGAAAGGCTTAAAAAGATTGAAACACAGTAAGCAATTTTTAAAAATTATGTTTTTGTTTTAACTATTGTTTTCAGAACTGACGATCCAGACGATTAGGATTAGGACCTTTTGCAAAATACAATGTTATGAATGAATTTTATTTTATTTTTTATTAGGTAGGTACTTAATATAATAATTTATTTGTTTTTAATAATAATTTTTTTATTATATATACTATTTTTTATTCATGCATATCCCAAATATACCAGAAATAAGCAAAAAACATTCGTTTGGAATATTCCTATTAAATTTTGGATCATATTCCAAGAATATTCTAAAAATATTCAGAACATGCTATGTACATTCTCAAGAAAATGTTCCAAGTATATCATATTTGGTTATTGCTTGAATATTCCTGGTATATCCCGAATATGCCAAGAATATTTTTTAAGGAATGTTCCTGGTGACTTGTAGTTAAATATTCTATAAATATTCCTGGAATATTCTGAATATTCTAGGAACATTCACAAAGGAATATTCTTAGAATATCTGACGAATTCCCATTGGACTTTTCTTAGAATATTCCAAAATGCATGTATATATTCTAAGAATCTTCAAAGCATATTCCAATGTTCAAAAAAGTTTATGCGGGGAATATTCTAGGAATATCTAATGTTAACTGGGATTGGTCAATTAGGTGGTGATGGCGCGTGACTGTATTTATATTTGCTAAATGTCATTTAGTAGCTTCAAAATTAACGCATAAGTAAAAAAATAAATCTAAAACGCCTTTACCAATCTTTATGAAATTTTGTACAAAAACACTTCAACTTATATCTCAGTTTACGTGTTCAAGGGTTTTTCAAAAAAATATTTGTAAAGCCCTTTTAATAATAAAAAAACGTTCGAAAAATAACTTTTTTTAAGTAAATAAAAAATATACAGTAACGAAGATATAGCGCTTCAAAGTCGGCAAAAATGACCCCTATTTGATTATTTTGCTAAAAAGTGGTCATTTTTGATGACTTTGAGCGCTGTATTTTCGTTACTGTTCGTTTGATTTGTACAACATTTTCAGGGTATACTAACAAAAATACGTCCTTTCACAGCATATTTTTTATTTAGTTCAAAAAAAATTTCCCTATAAAAGTTTTTTTTCGAGCGTTTTTTATTATTAAATAAAAGGGCTTTAAGGTTTTTTTTTCGAAAAACCCTTGTTATGCGTTAATTTTGACTGCAGTGTATTAAATTTATAAATGAGACACTTTTAATAACTCTGATAAATAAAAACAACGACCTTAAGATAAATAGAGAGACAATATTTTACCTGGCTCCTTTAAAATCTTCATCGGAATCGTCCTCGCTTTCAATATCCAAACTGTTCAATTTCCTGTGCTTCTTCTTCAATTTGGTCGACGTTTTGACGTGCGACTTTTTCTCGGGCTCGCCTTCGTCGTCTTCAACGTCGCGTGTTTTTGGCACGACCGGTGGCTTTTCTTCCACCTCGTCCTCATCGGCTGCTTCTTCTTTCTCTTTTTTCAAACGTTCCGCCTCCTCTCGTTCTTCCTCTTTGGCGGCGTTTACTATCGTCATTATGTCTTTGCCGCGACCGTGACAAGGTGCTTCACGCTTGGAAGGTTCCATACCGTCCTAAAATCACAATTTTTGTCAAATTTAATAAGACAATAACATTGTGCAACAATTTATACTCTGAAGCACGTGCTTAATTTTTTTTTTAATAATTAACTTAATTAGTACGAATAAGTAAAGGGTGTCCAAAAAGGTTTTTGCGTTTTAAAAAGATCATAACTTATAAGTACTGGGTTAATTTAAACCTTTTTTCTTTTAAAATAATCTACAAACTATGGAATTAAATAATATATTATGCAGTCAAACTCCTGTCCTTATTTGCGTACCGCCTCCTCCATAGACAAAACGACCCACAGACCACATAAACTGTGTAAAATTAAAGCTGCACTTTTACAAAGATCTATAAAATTTGAATAAAGTATACTATAGTCTAGAAAGTTCTTCTTTGAATATTTTGTAGCCTAAAGTTTGCTATACAAGTTTGCCAAAGGGCGTCAACATTGGTGTAGTAGTTTTAGAAATACGCGCTACAAACTAGCCCTATATCAATAAAATAAGTGAATATTTCGTATTATACGCACAGGTTACTTTTATGCTCCAAAAACCTTTTAAAAACTTATTAGAAAAGCCCGCCAATATTTTGTATGTGGACAAGGACCCTCTATAGTTTTACAACCACAAGTTTTCCCTTAGGTCCCCAGAATACACTTATGCTTCTGGAGTACCTGTAGCGTCCGACCGCAGTGACCCCAACCATTCAGAATTCATTTTTTAAGGATTTGTAATTTTCTATGCTCTACCATAACATTATCTCTTGCCTTTCTCTTCCTAACTCCTTAAGCGGCCTCTTTCATTTTATCTCGTTCAAATAAATCATAAGGAAGTCTTTTTTATACAATATTTGTAGAGGGTGGTCCACGTAAGGTGACCCATATACTTATCTTAGAAACTACTGGAGTCACAAAAAATTTGCAAGGGAGAAATATTCACGTAGAAAAAAATATTTTTAAAATATTATATTTTCATTAATACAGGGTGTGCGGTTTTCCGTGGGACGATACCAACTTTCTTATTTTCAATGGAACACCCTGTATTTTTTTGCATTTTTAGATCCTACACACTACTTTAGGTATACTTTGTAAATATATTAATTAGGAAAATGTTAATACTTTTTGAGTAAAATTAAAATTTATCAACATTTCTCTAAATGTAGACATTCGCTAAAAGTTAAAAATAACCAACTAAAACTTATTATTTTTTATATTATGTAGTATTCATCTCTTTAATAATAACCAAGCTATAAGTTAAATCTTTTTTTTATAAAATATTATACAGGGTGTTTTCTATGCTCCGTTGAAAATAGCGATTTTAAAAGTTTAAAATCTTGTTTTTTTTTTTCAATGGAACACCCTATATATTTTTACATAATTGGATAAAATATATAATTTCCTTTCTTTTTATATATATATATATATATGTCCTATATCTAAACCCAACAGAAAAAAAATATTCGCCTTTTTCACAATTAGTAGCTTTATGCGTATACCATATATGGTAATTATTATAATAATATTTATTTATATATAAGAACATTGTTTTGTTGTTATTTTAATTTATTTATTTAATAATGGAAATATAACTAAGGTAATTGGAAAATCCACAAGAATACATGATTCCATAGCAGGTACAATAGTAGAAAAATAAAAATATTACATAAAAACACTAAAATATAAAATAAATAAAGTATATAATATAAATATGTGGAAATAGGTAGTTATCACAGTTTTCTTAAAGATAAATAATAGTTTTTGACCGATGTCGAAAATGTTTTTATTGTTCTTTGGTTTTTTGTTGTCTCAGGAAGTTCATTGTACCATTTTATAGCAGATTGCGTTATTTTCCTTTCTCCAAACTTAGTATTATTTGAAGCAATGTGATAATGCTGGCTGGTCCTTGTGTTATGTTTATGTTTATCACAGTTTTTAGTTAGGTTTACAGTTGTTTCTTTTAGGTTATTTCTAAGTTTATACACCACTTCCAGCATTATTAGCTCAACAATGTTTAACACATTTAGTTCATTGTAAAGATATGTAGAGCTCGTTAGGAACGGTTTGTTAAATAAGAGCTTGAGAAGTCTATTTTGTGTCACTTATATATTAAATGTTTAGTTTCCTTGTTTATTAAATAAGCATTTCTTCTCAGATAATAACTTAAGCTTCCAATTTTATTTTTGAGACTTTGAATGTGGTCACTAAAACTAAGATTATCATCAATAATTAATCCTAAATATTTTGCACTTTTCACTTTATCCAAAATTTGTTTATTTAACGTTAAAGTATAGTTATTACAGTTTTTTTTACTTTTTATGACTAGATAGTTGCACTTGGATTCATTAAGTTTAATATTGTTTTTCTTAGTCCACACATTAATGGCATTTAAATCGCTTTGAGCCCATCCAAACACTTCCTCTTCACTTCCAGAATAGAAAAGTCCGGTATCATCCGCAAATAAAACTGTTTCACCTTTAACATCACATTCAGTTATGTCATTGATGTAAACTAGGAAAAGTAGTGGCCCTAGCACTGACCCTTGTGGAACTCCATAGTGAATTTTTTCCATTTTACTATTTTTGTCGCCAATGCTTGTGTACTGAAATCGGTTGTGAAAGTAATTGGTAAATATTTTAAGGGTTCTCTTTGTAACTCCAATTGTCCCAAGTTTTTTATGTAATATATCTGGGTCAACCTTCGGAGGGGACTTTAAGCCCGCGGTCCGTTCCTACCCCTAACCCACACAAGCCATTCAGTTGGCTTCTGGGACTTCTTAGGAAGTAAGGGTGGAACTAAAAGAGCACTTTTGTATATAAACATTATGTGTCATTGTGACGGTTTTAACACCTTAAGAAGAACACACCTGGGAGAGTCTAAACTCACACCAGAATTAAATTCACACCAGAATTTTTAAAATTGCTCCCACTGGCTCGGCTACTGCGCTTCATAGAAGCAACGGAGCTAGAGCTATGGAAGTAACACTATCTAGGGTACAATAAGATTGCGAAAGCAAACCGCAGTGCAGGGCTTTGAACGGGGGAGTTTTATTGGGTGTACGTCATTAGACGGAGTCCCACACTACTCGGGACCACAAGAGGAACCAAGTGTTTATAAAAAATTTCTCCGCCGGCCAAAGAAAAAAAAACTGTTTAGTTGACTTAACTATTCAAAATACCCAGTTCTGGCAAAGGTATACGCGTGTTACATATTACATACTCTGGTAAGGATACATTATAGTATCCTCCATACAACAAGTAAGTAAACTTTACCAAAATCGAAAAGCGTAAGCTGCGAGGGGTCAACCACTGTCGGCAATACGTGCACAAATTTTATGCAGTACAAAGGCAGTGACGGCAATACTTCGACAGTATCGGCAGTATGCAGCTGTAAATAGGCAATATAGGCAGTAAGGGAGCAGTACTTCGGCAGTACATGCAGTACTTCGGCAGTACATGGGCAGTATCGGCAGTAATTCGGTAATATTTAGCATTTAAGTCTCACCTAACGTACTCTCTGAAAATGAATCAGTCAAAAATAAGTAATTATAAGTTATATTTGACAAATTGTCATAGCGAAAAAGCAGTCACTAATAATTAGTCAAATTCTACTGAATAAAATAGTCAAATTAGTAGATTTAAATTTAAAAAAGTTTTGACCCAGCCGGGTATTGAACTCAGGTCTGTCACTTGTCAAGCTTGTCAAGTTGTTGTCATAACCAATGTGGCTATCAGCCGCTCTTATAAAAATTAATTTTATTTGTCAATAAATATTGTTCATAATATTTTAAAGTTGAATATATTATTTGTGTTGATGTTTTGAGCTAAACTTTTTGCATCATTGTTTGTTTTTATGGGCCATTTAACCATGGAGCCTATAGGCATGCATTTAATTCAAATAATACTTGGCCGCAAACGATTAAAGAAATTAGTTACTTTTAACTTTCAGAAATAGTTTAAGATGGTGACTAACCTTAAATTAGTCAAACTTTAACTTTTTACGTAGTAAAAAATAACTATTTAAAAGTGAAAACAACTATTTTATTAGTAAAAAATGCTGGTACTAATTCAAATAGTAGAATTTTGGCTATTTAATTTTAAGAAAGTACGTTCTGGTATCTTCCGATGCTCGTTCCGAGGTATCTCAGTTTTAATTTTGCAAACTTATTTGTGTGTTTGTGCTTATTAGTTTAACTGTATGTGGTTGTTTGGTAAGTATTGTAAACAATTAGAATATATAATAACTTAAAATATTTTAAGGTTTTAAAGTGTAAAAAAAAAACAATAAATTAAATTCTTAAAATTCGGATGTTTTTTTTATAAACATACAAGTAAAGACATAATATATATACATACATGTAAAACTATGGACCGTGTGTGGGCAGTAAAGGCAATGTTGAAAGTAACTAGGCAGTAAGTAGGCAGTATAGGCAGTAAGAGCAATAAGTAGGCAGTATAAGCAGTAAGTAGGCAGTAAAGGCAGTATAAGCAATATAAGCAGTATAGGCAGTAAAGGCAGTAATTGGCAGTATAGGCAGTTCGGCAATACGTGTACAAATATCTGGCTAGTGGTTGACCCCTCGGTAAGCTGTATGGGCTTATAACTCTTATTCTATTTTTTACGAGGATCTAGCTAAACGCCTGAAATACTGGTGTGCCTACAGGGGGTACATTATTCAAAACACTTCTCCAGAATACTTTATCCAGTGTAGTGGTACAGTAACAAAAAATAAAACAGTTTAAACAATTCAAAACAATAAATAATTAACTTAAAATGAAAGTCAAAAATTGTTTGACATAATGGGTTGAATATCCTTCGGGCGTTTAGCTAGACCCTCGTAAAAATAGTGTAATGTTATGATGACTTACAATTTGCGATTTTGGTAGATTTGACTTACTGGGTGTATGGAGAATACTCTAGTGTCTCCTCTACCAGAGTATGTATATTATTTCAACAAGCATATACTTTTGCCAGAGCTGTGTATTTTAAATAATCAGCTTAAGAGCTTTACAA